CTGCACAAAGTGTGAGATTAGAAACAAACATGCATGCACAACAGTGTCAGACAAGCCAAAACACGCACAGATGAATGCATACCATTTTGCAGAGCTTCGATCCGGGCTGGTTGGTATGGCATTGTAATGTAGTTGCGCTGAGCGAAAGGTACAAAGGAGTCGCAAAACAAGAGGACACACCAAACGGGAGGATTGCGCACCACCTGTCTCGCACTCTTGTTCTGTCACTCATTTGTACCTTTCGCTCAGCGCAACTACATTACACGCTACACCAACAACATGAAAACAATTACAATATCGCCCGTGCATTCCTAATTAGATTCTTGGTACTTGAATTTTCACATGGCAAATTTACTATCAATCGCCGCCCAGTTTACATATGTTTATTGGTACAAGGTCGGTTGTGAAGTATGCTACAGCCACTCTATGCGTGCCCATTATCACATTTTCATTGATGAATACAGCGTCTTCAATTGACGCCCACGAACGTGGTCGCTATGTGCAATCGGCAACTGAACGTTTACTTACTAGTTATTTCATAGGCTCACCTACCGGGGTGTTTATAGTGACTAAGGCACTACGATGCTGACCCGCAGGTCATGGGATCGAATCCCAGCCGCGATTGCCGCATTTTCGATGGAGGTAGAAATGCTTAAGGACCGTGTGCTTAGATTTAGTTGCGCGTAAAGAACCCAAGATGGTCGAAATTTTAGAAGCCCTTCACTATGGCGTCACTCGATCATAATCACATAGCAATCTTGAGATGGTAAACCCTAACAACTAATATTATTAGTCGATGTGGCTCATATATTCTGGTTTCCGTTTTCGTAAGGCTAGAATTTTTCGCAGTTTCCTAGCACTTCGCACTTTTCCTTTGTCACGTTGTTGGTGCTTCCTTATTTGCAAACGTCGTATTGTGCGTAGCCTGTGTATACTTTGCAGCAAAGGCTGCCTCGTATTTTTATCTCACTCGGAGGCTCGGGGCGCGAAAGAAATGAGGTAACAGAAGGAAGAGAGAGCAAAAGGAGGATGTCCGATAGGATTTTGATGCTACAGAACATCAGTCGCAATCGAATTTTGTTCCGTGCTGGCTGCCCCTTGCGCATACTTCCTGTGGAATTTTTATTTTACTTTTGCTCCCCCTTCCACCCCCTTCCCGTTCTAAGCTCGAGCACCCTCCTAGGAGAGGACAAAGCACCAGAGAGCCTAGAGATTACTCACGTGTGTGAGCGCCCACATTGTGGCAGCTAGAAGCCACAAGCAGAGTGAGGATGAAAAGAGGTGGGAAAACAACAGCTATTTCAAGCTACTGCGTGGTCTGTCACTCGGCCCTCACATCGATTGCGAGCGGAAAACTCCATCCGGTGCAGCAATGACATTAATCACGTTGACGATGCTCCTTACATCGTTTTCCTATTGTCACCGCGTGACGTTGAGGGTGAGCTGCGCCGACAACGTTGTCGCTCGATGTAGGAAAGCTGACTCGTTCTGGCACCTGAGCCGATGTTGTCGCCACGTGTGATGAATGATTTCGTGGAGGGGTGCGGAGAAGACTGTATCCAGTATGACTGTCAGAGCGAAAGACACCGGTTCACTTCCCGCACCTAAAGGGACAAGTTTCTATCAGAAGGAATAAAAGTCGATAAAACAAGTTGGAGAGTGACCTTTCCGGAATGTGATCACGGGCTCGTCTTCAAGTTAGCGTAATGCCACCCCCCTTTTTTTGAACTGCATGCGTCATTCAGTACAAGTGATTTTGGGACACTCTAATGCAGTTATAAGAAAAAATGATAAATCCGGTACTGAAGTCAAAGAGAGTACCTGTGGCCACAACGTGAAACAGCGGCCACAGGTACAGCGCGTCAAGGAGTTCGCTTTTCGGTGCAGCAGCAGAAATAATTTCATTCGCGCTCCTCCAATGACTGAATGTGATGAATAACAAAGCGGATATTGCGCGGACTACCTGACAGCTTGTGTAGTTTATGCTGATGCTCAGTTAAGTTGACACGCAAGAGAACAGATGTTTCTGGTAACAAAGCCCTTCAGCCCTTTTGCTCATGAAACAAAAACTATTGTGATGTTTGATGGCAGTATAATAAATAACTAAATATTTTGAAAAGAGATACCATCATGACGAGCACTACAATTTAATAGGACAACGCGAATGATTTGATTTTTATAACTATCGTCCTCTTTCGCTATCCAGTACTGTCTGTAAACTCCAAGAACACAATAAACATTTCCAGGTCACTAAATACCTCGAAGAGTGTAACAATATTGTTTCAAAACCAGTACGATTTTCTAGAACGGCGTTCTCATGAAATGGAGTTACCACCGTCATAAATGATGTTTATTCTTCCATCTATAGACACGGTTTGGCAAGTGGATGCTACATTTCTAAACTACACAAAACCTTTCGGCCGCGTCGCACACCGTCCCACATCTTACACGTTTCCGATTCTTAATGCATTTTGTTTATTCTTTATTTTCACTGTCATCTAAAACCATACTGTTGACAAGTGCGTCGTCTATTGTGGCGTGCCCTACATCATTGACTAGTTTAAATTACAATTGGACATGAACACGTTAAGTTCACAGTGCTCAGACACTGGTTAACGCCGTTGAACTACAGCAAAACGAAGGCTATCCCCATCACTAACCACGCTTGCTATTTCCTGTCAACTTGAAAATAAGATGTTGGCTATGTTGAACATAAATCAATCTACAATTAGCCAGGCGCTCACTTATAATCTGACGTGGGATTATCATATAGCACTATCCTTGCATGCGCTAAGATTTTTTCTTTACCTCCTTGAGAGCAGAATCAAAAAGTTGGCTATTTATCATTATGAGTTTTCTCACAATGCCTTGACCTGACTTAAAATTGAATATGCGTCTGCCATCTGGAGCCCTTAAAAATACTGCATTATTAACATCTAAGCCTTTCCAGACCACGAAGTTTTCTTCATTTCCTCGGAGTGCTCATCTTTCGATAGTGTCATTGCTTTGACGAATCGCGCTCAGTTGCACGAACTTTCACCAAGCTAGCTCACCACTTTTTCAAGAACGTACCGTCATCGATCTCCCCCTGACGACCTGCAACCAGCCACTATTTTACGTAGTCGGGACAATGCCGGCAAGTAAAAGCGGTAATGTACCCTTCTAAACAATATGCCGCATCTTTAGTACCACGCATATCGAAGAACTCATATCAGTTGCCACTACACACAGCAACAGAGACTACAATCAGCCCATTTCAAGACAACTTCATATCTTTTATCCGACCACCAGTGAATATTATTTATTGTATTTTTTTCTACGTATTCATATTTGGCACTTTTCTATTTATTGCTGGTTTCGGGACAAAAAACCCCACATATCAATCAGTTAATCGGTTTAATGCACTTGCTGTTTTGCCTTCGTACTCTAATTAGATTACCAGACTTGGTATCTTGCTTGACAGTTATTTACTGTTTCTGAAAGCAACGAATAACTTGATTCATTAATTTCGCGTGTTTTTTATGTATCGTGTGAATAGCTATGTTTGTCTTCTTTACCTTACTAATTCGTTTACTAAATTTGTTAACGCCTGTTGTCGGACGGCTACGTGAGGGTGTGAAGCTCTTAGGATCGGTGGGCTGAACAGATAATATTGCACGGAACTGTTAAGTAACGTCGACCTCCAATCGCTGTTGAGATAGAACGAATCGTGACAAGTGGGCACCCTCTCAGTTCACTGAAATTGTCGCATGGTCAATGTATTGAAGAGCAAGGTCCTAAGACACTTATAATGATACCTGGCGCATCACAACATCTACCCAGACGCTGTGACGAGGTTTCGCTATGGTCGGTCATCAATAGTGTCGTCAACCTGGTCACCTATATAAAACATAAAAAATCACAGCATATCCACGGAGAGAATGATGATGAGTGGGGCGAAGCGTCACTCAGCCTGTCCATGCTTCCATTCATTTGTTCGTTCTTGCTTCCGTCCGTCCGCATGACCATCCATGCGTCCATCCAAGCGTCACTCCGTCTGTCCTTACATCCATTCGTCAGTACGTTCGCATGTCCATCTTCTAGTCTGTCTGTCCGTCCGTCCATGTGTCCATCTAAGGAACACTCCAAGTACCACCATCTGCATCTCACATCCTCGTGGCACACATCCGCTCCGCGCGTCTATCCATTCGTCCGTCTGTCTGCTAGTCTGTCTATCCGTCCGTTCATGCGTCCGTCCGTGCGTCCGCTTGTGCGTCTATGTAGTGAACACTCCAAGCGCCGTCATCTGTCATCTCTCATCCCAGTGGCTACGTACGACAACGACCGAGGATGGACACACCCACGCGTTAAGGATCTTCGCCCCTAAAAAGGCCGTAAGCGTATCGGCGCTTCTTCATTACTCGATGTTCAAGAGGCGTATGACAACGTCACTCATGGAGCTATCCTAGCCGCTCTCGAAGAGGTAGGAGAGGCGGTCGGATGTTTCAGTGGCTACGCAGCTACCTCTCCGGAGGGAGGACGGTGAGGACGGTGACCCTTCGCTACATTACAGCCACCGTGGTGTTCCCCAGGGTGGCGTACTAACCTGCGCTCTTTGACCTGACGGTAATCGATCTTTCTGACCACCTGCAGCACACTGTCAGAATGTCAATGTACACGTATGGCATATTCATTTAGAAATCTGCTGTAACACGCCCACAGCTGCGAGCATGAATTCAGAGAGCTGCCACTCAATCTGCAATTTATCTGCTAAACAAGGCATAGAAATTTCCACAAAGAAATGTGCGCTTGTGATACTTACGCGCAAACCAAGACAGAAAGCTGTGGCGTAATGGTAAATGGTGATAGGACACCTTACCTTATATCCTACACTGTTGTGGGATAACATGACTTTAATGTTTCTGCACTGAAGGTTCTACTACAACTGCCCCTCAATCAAGGAAAATACACAGTTTTTTGCTCCGTTTCGCCACACCACCCTCCCACGCATATAGGAGTCGTCAGGGTTGAAAAGGTTTCAGGACCCGCACATGGCGTTCAAGGCGGGTGGCGTGGGGTGCGAGCCTAGGCGTTGCGGGATTTTGTCGGCGAAATACAGGAGGCGTGCGGAGGTTGGTAGGCTCCTGGAAAAGAATGTATGATGACTTTAGGTGGTCGATGGAAACGCGTACATCTTTTTCACTGATTTGCAGGGTGAATGTTTTGTCGTCACGACAGATGACTTTGCAAGGTCTGGAGTAAGGCTGCTGGAAAGGTGCGCGTACGGTGTCGTCGCGGAGGAAGGCATGCGAGCATGTTGCCAGGTCCTCAAACACGAAAGGGGTCGGCTTGATGTGGCGAGCCGCTGGTGAGGGGCGCAGCGCGGTCATTGTGCGACGGAGTCGAGCGACGAAGTCTGCAGGGTCCGAGCTGGTTACATCAGAGGTCGGAGCGGAGAGGAGTTCTCCAGGTAGGCGAAGCGGCTCCCCGTAGATGAATTCCGTGAGCATGACTTGAATGTCTGGTTTGAAAGTTGCACGAAGACCAAGAGCGACGGCGGGGAGAGCTTCGAGCCAGGTTGAGTGAGGGTGGCACATGATGGCTGCTTTGAACTGCCGGTGAAACTGTTCGATCATCCCGTTGGCGCAAGGGTGGTAGCTAGTTGTCCGTGAACGCTCGAACCCAGTGGAGAGCCCGAAGAGCCTGAAGAGTTGAGATTCGAATTGCCTTCCTTGATCGGTGGGGACTCGACGAGGAGTGCCGAAGTGTGAAACCCAGCTGGAGAAGAAGGCTGATGCGACGTCTTCTGCGGTGATCCTTTCGAGCGGCCACACCTCGGGTGAACGAGTGTTACGATCCATGGCGATGAGGCAATAGCGGTAAGGGCCGGCTGGTGGGAGGGGGCCAATGATGTCAATGTGGACGTGCTGGAACCGTTCCGTCGGGAGGGGGAATTCTCCGAGTGGCGACGTGACGTGCCGGGTGATTTCGGCGCGGTGGCATTGAATGCATGTGCGTGCCCAGGTGCGGCAATCCTGTTGCATTGAGGGCCACGCGTACCGGTCAGTCACGAGGCGTGTAGAAGCTCGGATGCTGGAATGACTGAGGTTGTGTAACTGGTTGAAGAGGCTTTGGCGATGCCAAGAAGGGACGTATGGTCTCACTCGTCCTGTTGATATGTCACAGTAGAGAGCGTGCGTTGACCCAGGGATGGTAACTTTTTGCAGTTGAAGGGAAGAGCCCTTTCCGAGGAGCTGATGTACTTCGGTGTCCGTTTTCTGAGCTTCAGCGAGGGCGTCGGTTGTAACGGTTGGTAGCTCGACAGCCGAGACGCGAGAGAGTGCGTCGGCGACCACGTTTTTCTTTCCGCTGATGTGGTGGATATCTGTGGTGCATTGAGCGATGAAGGACAGTTGGTTCTGCTGCACCGGTGGAAGTTTTTTGCGGCGTTGGGAGAAGGCGTAAGTGATAGGTTTATGGTCAGTGTATATGGTGCAGTGCTGTTCCTCGAAGATGTGGCGAAAGTGTTGCACTGCTTCGTAGATGGCAAGGAGCTCTCTGTAGTAGACTGGCCAGGTTGTCTCCGCAGGGGGCGAGGCTGCATCGCTGATGCTGCCGGAGGGGGGGGGCGGCTTCGGGGACGAGAATTTCTTCGAGAACAACGCCAAGGGGCTCCAGTTGTTGCCCACACGCTGCATGAGAGGGGCCCCGACGGCAGTGCTAGAGGCATCTGTGAAAAAACCCAGGGGTGCCTCTGGCTTGGGGTAGGAGAGCAGCGTAGTGTTGCACAGAGCAGTTTTGCAGTCTTTGAACGCTTGCGTTAAGGCTGGGGTCCAAGTGACAGGATGGTTGCCGCGTTGGCCGGCCAACGCATCACGGAGAGGGTCCTGATATGTGGCCGCTTTATGCACGAAGAGCCTGTAAAAGTTGAACATACCCAGGAAACGGCGGACGTCTTTTGCTGTGGCAGGCAGCGCGTAATTTTGAAGGGCCAGGATGCGGTCAGGCAAGGGTCTAGTTCCTTCTTCAGGTGTAGGTAACGGTCATCAGCAGGGGGATTTGCAAGTATATCGCAAACCTCAGCCACATAGCGAGAGTCTAGATGGGTGACGACGTAGTCATAGCGTGTCCAGTCCTGGGTGATGCGTGCCGTGGAGAACTGTGCCTCGACTTGAGCGAACCACACGTCAGGCACCTCTGTCCAAAATGGTGGAATTTTGACAGCGATGCGACAGACGTCCGTGTCGGTGGCGGCCACAGCAATGGAGGTGCACGAGAAGCAGGAACCACTGGAGCGAAGTTTTGGGGGGCGTGGCCCAAGTGGGGCGGTGCATGGTCGTCGGACGAGAGCGCTTCATTTTCATTGCGCTGCTGCTGTTCTTGGAGCCACTGCTCTTGGTTCTGGATCACTTTCTGCTGGGCCTGCAGCTGTTGTTGCATTTGTTGTACTTGTTGTTGAAGGGAAGCAAGGGTTTCCTCGTCAGCCATGGCGGTGCGATACGTTCATTTTCCGGGTCATCAGATTTGGGATAACATAACTTTAATGTTTCCACACTGAAGGTTCTACTACAACTGCCCCTCAATTGGGGCACACACACAGTTTTCTTGCTTCTTTCGGGTGAGAGTGTTCTTATCGCCGGCACCCATGTTTTGAGGCATTGCCGCAACGCGCAGGCATAGAAGCGGTGCAGAAGCGGCGCCAAACCGTTCCACCACACTGTAAAAAAAATTACTCCTAGGTTGGAGTAAAACGCTTGTCCTCTAGCGTCCCCCCGATTGAGAGCAATATTTGCTTCGGACCTCCAGAGAAAAATTTTTGCTCCGGCTCACCGGAAGAATGTCGTGGTGCACCCGGAGTACTTTTAAAAGATAGAATAAACCTAAAACTATGATATTTTCTATTGTTGCATGTCTAATCAGCGCTCGAAATACTAGAGCGACTTGATTCAATTTAACAAAGTTAATATGGCGTAATGCTGCATAAAAAAAGCGCGAGCAGAAGAAACTGAACAACTACAAGCGCTTGTGGTCTTCACTTTTTTGTGCTACATTTACGCCATAATGAACTCGCTCACCTCTCCATTTTGCTTTACCGAAGTTGTGTTAAAGAAAACAAAACACGTGGTTCAAACAACGCATTATCAGAATTCCACTTAATTCACTGACGTCTTGTGAAGTTAGCCAAATATTGATAACGTGTGTGGTTTATCAACGCAACATTATTTATTCCTATAACTACCTGATAAGAATAACACAGGTAATCCAAGGAGAGCTCTCTCACCATTTTTTCACCGCACCAGCAACTCCGGTTTGCTCAACACTCACAAGACCACAATGTGTCGTTCGCTGCCAAAAATCATCACACGATTAGCGTTCGCACAATCCCGTCGGTCGATGACGTCCTTCGTTGCTGCTTGTTGCTTGTAAAAATCAGAAGGTGCTCAGAACGACTTCGCTTTCTCCAACGCGGCCGAACGCTTCGCATATTCCTCACTGCACCGGCTTGGTCTGCACCATGTTGATTTGTGGGGAACCAGCCTCCTGGTGGCGAGGCTGCCTACGTCACTCCTCTAAGAGCCAATGAATGCCAGTGAGCGATGACCCGGAGCAATTGTGGAGCCTCCTCCGAGGCAAAAACTATGTGCGGGAGCATTTCTGGAAGAACCACGAGAGCATAATCAAGGCATTGGCACCGTTTTCCTCCGCTTTCATTCGTCCGGTGATCACCGAATGAGAACGGTGGAAAACTAATGTATTTGCTCGGGAAAAATCTGGTTTGAGCGAGGTCACTGGAGCAGAACGGGCACGTCTTTCCTGACTACTTCCAGCTGGGTATACTTTAGTTTACAGTGTACAAGTTCCTTGGTGTTATAATTGCCAGAGATATTCTTGGAGCCCTCTAGTATCTCACACAAAAAGCGGTTGACAGGCATCGCTCATCTCTTCAAGTTCTTCATTGGAAAGAGATGGGGAACTATAAGAGATGCTGCGACTATAAGCTTGGTTCTTTTCCTTGGACTCTTTCGTTGCAGCTTGCCTGTATTAACCAACGAAGTAAAGCAAGTCTACCGATTATTCAAAATTATCAGGCTCAAGCACTCCGGATTTGCCTAGTCTTGCCTCAAAGTGCACCAACAGTGGCAACTATCGCCATCCCAAGAGACCACCTCATCGAGACCGTCAATGATGTGGAAGTGCTGATGACAAATATACGACACCTTGCTCGAACTCCCCGTCATCACCTATAGCCATCATCACCAGTGGACCAACCACGCATATCTTACTGCCCAGTAGTGACTGTATAAGGTGAGTCATTACCGACTGCCTTCACTTATGGCGCTTGACCTCTGACTCCTCCATGGTGCCTTGCTCAACCAAATATCAGCATCAACCTACCTGGCGGCCAGAAAAAAATAATCCCAGCATATTCACAGAGTGAATGACGATGAGTGGGGCGAAGCATCCATCCGTCGATTCTTTCTTGCTTCCGTCCATCCGTTCGTCCATCTGTGCGACCTGCCGTGTGTTCGTACGTCTGCTGTGTATCCGTATGTGTGTCCATCCGTACATCCGTCCCTGCGTTCGACCGTGAATCCATTCATGCAATCTTCCGTGCTTCCAACCGTCTGTTCATTCATCCATGCGTCCATTCGTGTCTGTCTGTCCGTTCATTCATTTATTGAACACTCCAAGTACCACCATCTCGCATTTTCATCATATATTCAGCACATACAAGTACCGCCATCCAGTTGGCATTCCAAAGACTAAACAATACGTAGCTCACGCGTTCTTTCTTACAGTCTGCGCTTCAAGTCTACTTCCCGCCTTTCACAGCTTCTAGTTCATGGCAAAATAATACTTCACTTCATTCATGGCACTGGGGCCAAACCCTCACTAAACCATGCCTAAAGCAGGGAGGTCATGCCCAGCAAGTTTAACGTACGTGGCAACCCTTTCTGATCAGATAGTGTTCAAAGTGCGTCCTTCTGATACTAGTTTTTTTTTAGTAAGCATCCAATTCAAGGCAACATTTATTGAAGATGAATTGACCAATACTCGTGTCTCTAAGTTATTTCAGTCCACTGGTGTGTTGGTTGATAAACAATAAAATATGACGTTACACGAATGGCTTCCGACTCTCTGGCCGTTGATGTTTTTGTGTGAGCTGTCTTGCATTTAGTCATCGTGACCAACCATCGTATCGCGAGTGCTCTGGCTAAGCCAATTGGCACAACGAATTTGTCTGTGTATATAAGCGTTGAGTTTTGGTCTTTTTCATACAAGGGAAGTAATGGGACCTTGTTAAAGTGCCGGTGATAAATCGGCTTTTGGGGGCGAAGCTCCCAATGTTGTGGGTCGGGCGTCTGCGATGTTTCTAGTAGTAGTAGTAGGTAGCCACCTCCACGACCGGACTATATGAGCGGCCCGCGCGCAACATTCCGATTGAGGAGAAAACTAGCGCACGTTATACATACAAAAAGATAGTTTTTTCTGATATTAGAAACAACTATCTTTTCTGTGTTTCCCGTGACTGCCAAAAGTGTGTGAGGCACGGCTACATTTTTGGCCAGCAGAACGTCAGAAATAGGTGTGAACATGCAGTCACCGTCAGGAACTGGAGGGACAGACCTAAGGTTCAAGCAGGTAATAGCTTGAGGTGCTAGGCGGACATGATCTACAGAACACAGACGTGGTTAAGCTGGTGTTGGGTCGTCATGGTATCACGGTAAATTGTATTGAAGCATGCTGGTTGCACAATCAAGAGGGGCAGAGTGGGCGGATAAAAAGTCTATGCCGAGGATAAGTTCTTGGAAACATTTCTCGAGCACAGCAAATAGCACTGTCGTGGAGTGATCTGAAACACTTATACGCGCGGAGCACATTCCAAGGTCGGGAAACGTGCCACCGTCGGTGACTTGGATGATTGGTACTGTGAGTGGCGTTACATTCCTTAGTTATCAACGAAGTTCTGAATTTATAACTGCCATGCGAGCCCCTGTGTCCACAAAAGCAACAATTGGTGTGCCGTCTACTTCAACGTCAATAAGGTTGCGTTGAGTCGGCAGCATAGTCAGAGGATTTGGCAGGCAAGTGGTCGATGCAGCATCACCTCCGCGAGCTGCATCAGCTAGTTTTGCCACGGCAGGTGGTGAGTCGGCGACGTTGGTCGGCGAAATTGGGGCTACCGAGATGACGGGCGATGGGAGAGTGGTGAACGGGACTGGTGAGCATGCAGAGACGGAGAGAGACGTCTATATGGTGGCGTAGAAGGAACGCCTTCACTGGTGGCCTGAGGCGATTCCCGGTAAGGTTGAAAGCGTCCATGATCCATCTCTGGGCGATGGGTGTACTCATAGGATGCATGATGCCAATATCACCGAGTGTTACTATGGCAGGGCATGTGTCCGATACGGTGGCAGTTGAAAAAAATCGGACAATTATCCGCAATCCTCCACTCGGCTGGATTGCGAGGGCGCACTGGAAGGTTCTGGCTTTGGGCATACGAAACAGGATGTCGACGACGGTCGATCGGCTGAGAGGGAGCTGTAGTGCACTCGGAGGCCAGTCCAGCATGGGAAAGCTCTTGTCGAACAATGGCATATACCCGTGGCACCATCTGAAGGCTAGAGTCACGGACATGTTAGCACGTGGACGCAAGAGACAGAGCTTCAAGTTCACGTCTGATGATCTTGGTCTCGCGCTCTGCAGTTTACGGTGTCTGTAGTGCAGGCCCGTCTTTCAGGTTGCTGCTGTGTTTGGTAGTCGAGTTAAATGGTGGGCGATACGTCGACTTTTTGTGGCCTCAAAACACTGGCATTCCTTGATGATGGCATCGACCGTGTTCTAGTCTTTGCATATGAGAAGGTTGAACGCATCTTCTGCAGTGCCTTTCAATATGTGTGCTACTTTTTCGGTTTCTTCCATGCCATTGTCTGCTTTTCGACAAAGCGCGAGCACTTACTGTATGTACGTCACGCAGGATTCTGCTGCCGTTAGTGCACGAGGTGCCAACTCCTTCTTGGCCGCTGCCTTTCTATCCACAGACTTGCCGAAAAGAACGCACATTTTTTCTTTGCACGCATCCCAGCTACCAATTTCTTCTGCGTGGTTCTTGAAACACACTTTTCCTGTTCCTTTCAAGTAGAACAGGATGTCGGCACAATAAGAGTTTAATCCCATTGGTAAGTTTTACTTTTACGTTCGTAAAACGGCAAGCATTCTTCAATTTCGACATCATCAGTGCCACAGAACGTGCCCGGATCTTCTAGCTGCAGAAGGAGAACAGTTGAAGTCACCTCGGCGGGAGCGGGTCCCTGGTTCGCCATGGGGGAAAAAACCAAACGTTGGCCACTGCGGAGCTCCGTTATATTGTGTTGTACCCCGTACCACCACCAAATGTCATGGGGGTGAGAGAATGAATGCAATAATGATATTTACGAAATATGCAGGGAGAGTCAGAGGCAGATGCAGCCAAGATGGAGGAACAA